TCAAGGACGCCACTTTACGGAGGGGGCAGTAAGGTCAGCTGGTCTGTGGGTTATTGGAAAGCAGTGTGTCAGTGCTGTGATTCACAGCTGCGTAACCTGCCGCAAGCTCCGATGGAGAACAGAGGCACAGAAAATGGCTGACTTACCTGTGGATCGTCTGAGCACCGACCCGCCATCCTCTTACGTTGGGGTCGATGTGTTTGGGCCTTGGTCAGTCACTTTTCGTCGAACACGGGGAGGCTGTGCCACCAGTAAACGATGGCCGGTCATCTTTAGCTGTATGAGTACTCGAGCCATACACATTGAGGTGATGGAGTCAATGGAAGCTTCGAGTTTCATTAATGCGTTGCGGCGATTCCTCTCCATTCGTGGCCCAGTAAAACAGTTGAGGTCTGACTGTGGGACCAACTTCCTGGGCGCATGCAAGGAGCTTGGTATTGACTCAAGACAGTGTGATAATCAGATAATACAGGATTTCTTAAGTGACAACGGATGTACATGGGTTTTTAACCCACCTCATGCTTCCCATATGGGTGGCAGTTGGGAACGCATGATTGGGGTGACAAAGCGTATACTTGACTCAATGCTTATGGGTATTACACACCAGAAATTGACCCATGAAGTGTTAACGACCTTTTTGGCAGAGGTAACAGCCATAGTCAATTCGCGACCCCTCATCCCAGTATCCACGGACCCAAGTTTTCCACTCATCTTAACGCCTGCAACCCTTCTCACCCAGAAAGTTGGAGTGCCGTTAATACCTCCAGGTACCTTCAATGAAAGTGACCTGTTTCAACGCCAATGGAGACAGGTGCAATATCTTTCCAATGTTTTCTGGCATTGGTGGAAGAACCAGTACCTTTCTACACTCCAAGAGCGCAGGAAATGGCATTTGACAAGACCTAATCTGCGAGAGGGGGACATTGTGTTGTTGAAGGACAGTCAAGTCAAGAGGAACCAGTGGCCTATGGGTATGGTGGTAAAAACTTTCTCTAGTCACGATGGAAAGGTGAGGAAAATTGAGGTTAAGGTTGCATCTGGGGGAGAGTGTAAAACCTTCTTGAGACCCATAACAGAAACCGTACTCCTCCTTCCACATACTAATGACAAAGATGGTGAAGGAGAAAGAGTTTGATTCTGACGTCTTACAGACGTCAGGCGGGGAGTGTGCTGGCAGAGAATGATTCTCGCCAACAGAGGGCGCTGTTTTTTTTATATTTTTATTTTTGTATATTTGGTTTGTGCGCAATAGACAGGAAATAGGAACTACATGCCACATGTTTAGCTTTAGCCATCAGAGGTAGAAGTCAGGTCTTTCTAGACTTAAGCTACGTCCATCCTTCTTTGTTCTTCCTCGGAAAGCATTGCTTGTGAGTACTTTGATTATTAATATGTTCTAAAGGTATTATGGATGACAATTTGTGCGAAGTGTTTTAGTGAATTGTATTTAATAATGGTTTGTGTTGGTGATATGTCTGCATGGTGGCTATGTATATATATATTATTTTGGATGTATGTTCTTTACTATTCCTGCCACTTACGGTATTCATGGGAAAACATGAAGCTGTATTTGTGTAAATTATATTATTTGTGAAATATCATTTCAGTGTTTATTATCTAGTAATATTATGCTTGTATTAGCTTTGCGTGCCTTGTATTAGTGCAGGCTGCATGTTTAGTAACGTTTACATACAAACGTAATGTTTATCTTCTGACAGAGAAAGTAAGTTATTTCTCTTTTTGCTTTTCTTTAGTTTCACTCTGTAGATATTTGAAGGGAACGTCACAATAAAAAGGACATAACACCTGTCACCTATCTACGAGTTTATCTGTCTGCTTAACTGTGGTCAGTTGGAGCAGTGAGGGCAGAACAATTACATTGCCATTTTGAATATTGCGTTGCCATTTTGAATATTGCATTGTCATTTTGCATATTGTATTGCCATTTTGCAAATTGCATTGCAAATTGAATTTTGCTACACATATTCCATAGTCGTGCAGTTGATTGTACAAATCGATTTAGCAAGAAACTGGAGCCGTAGTTTTACAGACAGCCGAAATCTTAAAAAGTAAGTGTTGTACTCGGTCACATATGGCCGATACCCAACCCGCTAATAGGACTGGATAGGTGCCAATATTCAGATCTATGCATCTCTACTTACAACGACCATTGTTCGACCATTGTAGCCATCAGTTAAATAACTACAGGGGATATTCCAGAAAGCGGTTTAGCAGTATTTCAGGATAAGCAAAATTTAATATTAAGAATATGGCAGCAACATAATCTATTATCAATTTATTAACTACAGGGATTGAGAACTTATTTTTAATTGTATTTTTATCAGATATTAATTGTATACAGATAAGGCTATAAATCAACCCATCTCCACCCAGATGCTGTTTTGTCGAAAATGAATCTGTATTTTCATTATGTCAGGTGTCTTTTATTTTTCGAAAGAAGGAATGGTTTGTAGAGGGGTGCATTAATCCTCAGCAGCAGCAATATGAATTATAACATTAAAACCAGTTTTTTGAAAGAAAATAGTTAATTGAAGAACATTGTTTGTATACTTCAACTTTTGGTTCTTTGCGTTTGTCTTTTTATATTGTTAACATTTAATGGTTTTTTTATTATATATTTTGGGTTTGGGTCCCAGGCAGATGATAAATCTCCCTTTTGGGTTCGCAGGTGAAAAAAACCCATGATATGCAAGGAAATTTGTTAATTTGCTGACGACAGATACTGAACTAGCAGCACAGAGGCTACAACGAGATCTTGATTTAATTAGCGACTGGGCTGATACCAGGCAGATAAAATTTAGTGTAGATAAATGTCAGGTNCAAGCAGAGCTCAAGGTAGAGGAGACACGTCTGGAGGCCACATTAGAGGCGCTTCATAAACAAAGTGATGCAGAAGCTGCCCTCGCTGAAGCTAATGTATATGAAGCAGCAGTGAGCGAAATTGATGGAGAGCGATTGAGTGGTCGCTTTTCTCATACGTTTCAGACCATAGATCGCACCAGTGGTTATGTGAATGACCAAACTGTTCAAGATGATAAATTAGCACCATGTGAAGATGCGAAACCTCACAACATCCCAAACTCTTCTACGTTCACTCAGCTCAGACAGAGGGTTGATACGTTTGACCATACAAATAGACCCTATGTCTCACCACCTTTTACACAGGACGGTAACGTCTTACAACCATCTCAGTGGTTTACAACACAAGCACCAACACCGTACTCAGTACCATGGACTCCACCGCAAGAATCCTCAAACCTGCATGACCTCACCAGATTTCTAGCCAGACGCGAGTTGCTCACTGTAGGACTTACGAAATTTAGTGACAAGCCAGCGGATTATTGGGGCTGGAAGTCTTCATTTGAAAATGCTATTCGAGACTTACGCATGATGTCTAGTGAAGAGCTTGATTTATTAATCAAGTTGTTAGGGGAGGAGTCTTCACAACATGCAAAACGCCTTCGAGCAGTTCATGTCAACAACCCTTCTCTTGGACTGACTAAAGTGTGGGTGAGGCTGCAGGAGTGTTTTGGCTCTCCTGAAGCTTTGGAAAAGGCTCTGTTTGATAGGCTGGAATGTTTCCCCAGAATTACAAACAAAGACCCTAATTTACTACGTGAACTTGGAGACCTTCTCTTAGAGATAGACTCTGCTAAGAGTGAAGGTTACATCCCAGGACTACTGTACCTTGACACAGCTCGTGGAATACATCCTATAGTAGACAAACTTCCATTTAGCCTGCAGGAAAAATGGATGGTTCACGGAACAAGATATAAACAGGAATATTCAATGGCATTCCCTCCATTTTCAGTTTTTGCAGCCTTTATTAAGAATGAAGCCAGAATGAGGAATGATCCCAGTTTCACGTCTTCAGTTTCTCCACCTAACACAATCTTCAAAGCACGGAAATACTCAGAGAAGCATTTCAGCGCAAAGGTGCCTATCTCTGTCAACAAG